AATCCATACGGTAATATTCCTAGAAAAATTTACATACAAGCATTGCAAAAGAAATTGCTTCCTCAAGAATAATTAGAGCAGGAGATGGGGCACTCACAAGTAGGGATGTTAGCGACTAGTCGGCTATCCGATAAGCAAATGCTTATCAGATAGTCAAGTAGCCACTCAACTAGTCACTTCCTTTCCTCCCCACCCCCTCGCTTGCTGTCTCTATCAGAGAGAGGTAGCAAGGAAGGAGCAGGAGCCGGTGCTGGGTTCCCCCCAGCACCATCTCAGCAGGAGGCAGGGGCACATCAGGGAAACAGCGCAAGCAGGGACTGAAGCACTCCCCACTTGCACCGGTTCCTACTACCAGCACTTCTGCCTTTGAAATGTAGAAGAGCCCTCCAGGGCTCTTTCAAAAGCAGAAGTGCTGCAGGGAGCACAAGGTGAGCAGGGACTTAGCCTCCCACAGAGGCAGCTCAGGAGCCAGGAGCTGGTGCTCGCAGGGAGCTGGATTTCAAGCCAGCTCCTTCTGAGCCAACTATCTCCCCACCCTGCACTGCTGCCTCTGTATTAGAGGCAGCAGCCTTGGGGGGGGGAGGGGGGAGAGAGAAGCCAGTACACGCAGGGAGACAACTTAAAAGCTGGCTCCTGCCTTGCCCCCCCCTCCCCATGTGTAAGCACATAACTGCTGAAAATTTCAGCAGAGTCACATTTACAAAAGTAAACTTATTTTATTATTCCTAACATAAAACATCTATAGATAAAAAGTAAATATAGGTTGAACCTCTAGAGTCCGGCACCATTCAGATCCCAAGGGTCCTGAACCAGAGAATTTGCCAAACCCCGGGAGGTCAATATTATCTAACAGCATTACCAACTTTTCCACTGCTTACTGGGCTCTTAGAAGACATTTAGGGACAAATCATGCTGGACCACAGACGTTGGTGGACCAAAGAGGTTCAACCTGCACAAGCCACGTTAACCAAGAGGAAAGAAATAGTTAGGATTTTATATTTTTTAATAAAGGTCTAATCTGCTTATTAACTTCTTCTGTTTTGTTTTTCTTCACAGAAAAATATCAAAACTGAGATCTGGTTGCTGCCTACATAGTTACTTTATTAGAGATCAAGCTGTCTGGAGTCTGGGCTTCCCTAAAATTGCTGAAAGTTCTCCACAGCAGTCAAAGTTTAATGAAAAGTGGCAACTTGCTTGGATGTTAAACATGTTGTAAAACAGTTAGCATGTAAACATAGCAAAGTCAAACTGAAAAGCAAGAGAAGCCTTAGAGAACCATAATATATTAATCGTTTGCTCAAACAGGAGAACTGCATATGAACAGAAGTTAACTGATCGCAGGGTCCCTTCAATCAGTTACAAAACTGAGTTCACCTCAAGACCCCTGAATATTTTCTTCTCTTAAAGGAATAAAAAAAATGTAACATGAAAGTAGACTGCTGAGTCAGTTAAAAGAAAATCTGTGTAACTGTAGGATTTATTGAAGACAGGTATGCCAACTCACAGGTCAAGCTGCAGCAACAGGCAGTGCCACAAAAGGGATCAGAGTACAAGTCCCATGACTGTCTGGGAGGCATTTCCTAGAAAAACATCTCAGATTGCCCCCTTCAGGTCAGTCTGAGGAACAGCATTAGAGCAAGACCATATTCCTAACAGTCCTCAGTGACCAGAAGATTCATCACCACAACTTGGACACTAGGCAGGAAGTTTCCTGAAGAATTTCCCTTTCCCCATACATCTAATGCTCTGCTACAATGCCTTTAACACTGGCTAGGTTGAGGGCAAGTTGAGAACTTAACAAAACTTAAACAGTACTTACTCACAAAGTTATGTTTCATTACCTTCGTGTCACTTTAAAAACCTTAAGGTTACAACTCTTCAGGAAGCACGTCTCCATACTTACGTGCACCAACTATAATAGGGAGCCTTCTATCTAGAGTTCTGCAAATATATGCTTTATACCTATGGCACATAACCTGTTCGAACCCTGCAAATTTTCAGATATCTGCAGATTTTTATTTTTTTTTTGCATATGCAAATACAAATACCAAATCTGTATCCATGCAGGGCTTTATCGCTACCCTTATACTGGCCATTGGTTAGGTTTGAGAAAGATTTTCAAAAGTAGAAGTGGCAGTCAGGTATTGTACTCCCATTCAAAGCCTGTTTTTGAAAAATCTGTCAGAGATATTACACAATTCGCACAAAATCAGTACCCCAGCTGGACAGAGACAGAACCCAAGCCTCACACATTATTCCTGGGATTGCAATTGCAGAGATCTCAAACATGGAAACACTATTTAAAAACTTTTTTCTAGAAAGCCACCTATAGGGTTCTTTGTTTAATCAGGACATACTAAATAGTATCAAATTAAAATCTAATTTATTCAGGACCTAGTTGTGTATATTAATAATTCAACTTCATAAATATTGACTAATGTAATTAGTCACAGGATTTCAAACTATCAGCCCAAACGGAATTTGCTTGCTGTGGTGCATTTACATCACAGACTTAGTAATAATTTTTGTGGTTAAGAATCTTTAAAAAACAAAAAGTTTTTAAACCAGCATGCTGTGCAGGGAGTGTTCTTATGGGACTCATTAAAACAACCCATTTCTTGAAATTCAGCACCACCACTTAGGTGAAGCAAGGGTTTTAACTGCACAGAAAGTCAAAGTATAGCAAGACAGTGTAGACAGCAAGTTAGTTTACCATGAGCAATTAAAACAAGAATTAAGATGAATTCTAGATTTTAGAGTTACGATACAAGGAGAAATAACAAAAAAAAAACTTCTTTACCTAGCTTCATTTTACAAGTTTCAAAGGGGTAGCCGTGTTTGTAACTGAAAAAAAACCCTTAAGAAATAATAGTCTTTAAGGTGCTGCAAGACTATCAAAAAACAAAGATGGTATCATGAGTTTTCTCGGGCACAACCTACTTACCAGGAAAGCTCATGATACCATCTACATTTTTTCTTAGTCTCTAAGGTGCTGCAAGATCATAAGTTTTTTTTTCATTTTACCAGAAATACAGAGTAGTTAACCCAATTGTTTAAATTTGCAGGAATGCTTTAAAACAAAGAACATTTGTTAAGAAGTTACATATTAGAGAGTCAAACTTCAAGAGGATTTTAATTGTTATTGGTTTTATTAGAAGTGCATAACTGCAGATGGGAGACACTCTGTAGCTATCTCTCTGCTTCACCATGTTCTAACCCCAGAAATGCCTGTGAGGCTCTTCAAAAGCCAAGGACTTCTAGTCATGCTTGCAATATAATATTTTATTCATGCCACACTGCACTGTCAAATCTATGATACTTTCCTTCCCAATTCAAAGACAGAAAGCCTGCAACATATAACGTAACCTCCACCCCTCACTTTTTTTTTTTTAAATTCTAACAGAAGCAATATGTAAAAAGGAATGGAAATATACTAGCGTTGAGCACAAGATAATGTACTTAAAAACAGAAAAGATGGAATTAAATTAATAGCAGAAAATTAAACATTTCAGCAATTATATATAAAAATGGTTCAAGATGAAAGTCAGCTAGAGCACATGAAAGCATGTAATTTGTGTGATTAAGACTTAAAAAGGTACCTACACGAATGGAAAAGCTGCTGCATTTAGATATTAGCATTGTGTTAAGGACCCTGTGCTTTAAGCTTTCTAGCAGTGGATAAAGATGGGCTGTGGATGTAGCTTAACACAGGGCACAGAGAAGAGGAATACTGAATATTCACCAAGAGTCCTGCCTACATTAGGAAAATTAAATGTAAAGAAACATACATAGCCAAGTAGTTTGGCTTCCAAGTGCAGACCTATGAGCAATTTTTGTGGATATTTTTTTAAATTAGAGCATCACCTAATCCCATTCCTAGGCATTGAAAACTCTGGCAGCTTCTGGCAACCTTTGACATTAGTGACACTAGGAGAGCTCTATCATTATCAGGAGAGCTCAACTGGCATTAGTAACAGCAGACATCATTTGTAAGATTTCCTTAGCAGGGGCAGGGCCAGCAGGTCACAGTACACAGAAAGGAACCTCGTGGGAGCAAAAGCATGCTTTCACCCTTCCTTGCTGTAGGCTTCCGGGAGGAGCGCGTACACCAAGCGCCTGCTGCTCTAACTAGTCAAGCACCTACTACATTGCTGAAAGCGTGCCCGGGCTGAGCCCTGCCATCTGTGGGCTTGGCACATCCGTTATGAAAGTTTTTTTTTTTTTTTAAACAAGGTGAGCCCTGACCCTTCTTTCATTACACATGGAGCCCCGGCCTATTGGAGGCCTACAGGCGAGGGGAGTAGCGACAGCAGAGGGGCCAGCGTGCAGCGAGGAGAGGGCGGGGAAGGGCAGCAGGCATGGCTGCGGGTGCAGGGCGGAGAGGAAGTCCCTTCACATGGCCAGTCACTTCTCTCCTCCACACCCCCCATTTGTCCCCCAGCCCCAAGCCC